GTGATGAAACGTTTGCAAACAAATTGCCAAGCTCGACGAACAGGCGAAATAGAATTCAGTTTACCCGAGCTACGGGAACCGACTTTCAATACTTTTTCAACAGAGGTAATTTTGATAACGGAACATTCCGATTAGATGGTAGTCAACAGAATCGCGTAGGGCAACTGAAACGTCGGAAACGTGTACTGTACTGGAAATGGACTGGCAATTCCTGATTTATTGATTTAATGCCATTACCACAACGAAAATTGTGAAAGGGTTAAAAATCGCTGCTTCTCAGTGAGACGCTATCAGGATAAGTGATGCCAAGTCTGTTCGACGGGGATTCTCCTGACGACTATTCAAAATTCGATTCCATTTCTCAAACAAAGTTGTTGCAGAAACTGGAATCGTTTGAATGTCCCAAGCAAATTTTATCTTGGCTATCCGATTCTTGCACTGATAGAGAACGAACCATTCCATTTGGGAAAGCTTCGTTCATGCACTTAGTGCACAATGTCAGAGATCTTCAAAGAGTTGCGCTTTCTCCATACATATGTTCCACCCACATTTGTGATATTCCTTGTGTTTCTCCTGCAAGTGTTTTGAAATTTGCAGATGATTTTATGCCTTGCAACCCATTTCTTTTTCCTCCTGTCTAAGCCTCTTCACCAATAATCTTTCGCAAATTCAGTTCTTCTCTGCCCAATCGGTACCAAGTTTAACCCCTTGGGAAATTTGCTGTGTTTAAATAGCCGTGTACGCTTTTCATTACCGACAGACCACACTGTGATAAATAAACCCTGTTTATCCAGGATAAGCTTTGTTGGTACGGTACAGTCACCGTTAGTCAAACAACACTCACAACTGTGGAGCCCATCATTTTAAATTCGAAAACTCAGGCAATTTCGCGCATCCCAGTCATTTATTTCTACCTATGTGTATCAGCGTGTTTCATCCATCCAAGTCGCTTGTTCTCCAATTATTTTTCCTGGCTTACTCAAAGAGAATTTCAAAGCCTGATGCAGCGGTCTAACTATTATTGGCCGCGTTTCTTCTATTCCTGTGAATGAATAAACTGTGAAACA